TATTTACAATATAGTATTATCTAAAAGTAACATAAAAAAATGACATTTCATACTATATGTTAGTAAGTCAACGGGACTGCTCCTAGCAAGCCTAATGATAGGACAATCATAGTTTCTTAATAAATAGTGAAAATAGTTTTTTGTCAATCCATTATGGAATGTATTAATTTTTTCACAAGTTAATTTTTTCATTTTAGAAAATGTGAATACATTGTGTGATAAATATGTGACAATTGTGCGATAACATTATGCGAAAGTTAAAACTACGAAGACATTTGTAATAATCCTTCACACATTCTGAAGTGAAAAAGTAATAAATATGTGAAGACATTGATATCTATATGCGACAATTATGAAATTGATATACGACAATTATTTTGCATTTTTCAAGGTTAAAAAAATAGATTTTTAGCTAGCAGAATGAAAAACTTAATGTATCATTAGAGTGAAAAAGATTTTTCCTTAATAAAAATACATACTTCTAAATTCAAATGCTTTATTTCTAAAAAAACAACATAAATAGAATAAATAACAATACTTCTGTAATTGTGATATTTTTAAATTTTAACATTGCGTATAGCGTTTCAAGTAGCAACATGTATAATGGATTCTAGTCGGTTATATATTTTAGGTAAAATTGCGCCTAATATCATGACCTTTATCGAGATTGCAAATTAATCACAATTTGTTTTATTTTTGCACACTATATCACACTCTTCAATTTTTTGCAAAACGATACACGATTTTGACCACCAGTCCTAGAAAAGTTGATGCGGCACTCGAAATGCTGCCACACCTATTGATTTGTATTTACCAACCAATATTTTTTGCACCTCAGATTAAGATGACGTCGTTTTGTCTCACTTTTAAGTATTTTATTTTTTTTCCACGTCATAGTGTTTGAGCAGCATAAGCACGAAGAGCACAAAGGGGACGCTTAAAAGCAAAGTTATAACAAGTGTCCATATCAAGCTCTTAACAAGAATCGAACTTATAGAATTTAAGGTCGTGGGCTTTTTGTCTGAAAAGGGTGAATTATTAACCATGTAGGTGAAAAGTGATGACTTTGGAGTAATTACAAAGAAATCAACACTGTTTTTTAGCAGATAGCAAGAGGACGACGTCGTATTCTAGACGAAAGACGAAATTTAGCGGGGCTGTGGGTTTCTACTGACAAAGGCAAAAATTTCGAAGATGAGAGTGCAGAGAACGAGGAGACAAAACAGAAGGAGAAAAGGCAAGTCTTTAATGGAACGAGAATCGTACCTTTAGAAGATCTGAAGGTACTGTGACTGGTCTTCTTGTTCTTGTTCGTGTCCAGAGTGGAGGCGATGGGCAGCTCAAGCGGCAGGTAAGGTTTTGAGAGGAGAGGTAGGGTGGCAGCGACGGCGGTGGATGAGGTCTCGTGTTGAATGGAAGACAGCTTGTTGGGGTCGTCAAAATTGTCCATCGGCGGCGGAGGGCGGTTGTCCGGCGGTGGGAGAGTGGACTTTTTCTTTTTAGCTCATTTTTGTTTGAAACGAAATGACGTCGTTTTCTTATCACGTGGAAAAAATAAAATACTTAAAAAGTGAGACGAAAAGACGTCATCTTAGTTTGAAGTGGAAAAAATGTTGGTTGGTAAATACAATTCAACAAGTGTGGCTGCATTTTGAGTGCCACATCAACTTTTCTAGGGCTGGTGGTCAAAATCGTGTACTGTGTTGTAAAAAATTAAAGAGCGTGATATAATGTGTAAATGTAAAATCGTTGTGATTAATTTGCAATCTCGATAAAAGTCATGATATTATGTGCTATTTTGCCTATATTTTATAATTAGGTGTAAATTTAATTTGATCTTATTTATAGTGTAGTATCATATAGAATAACAATATCACATTTCATATGTAAGTTTGCAAAACTAATAAATAATATTGCAAAATTTCATAGAATAAGTATACGTTTTTGTTATAAAGATTGATGATCTTATATAAAGAATACTTTGATTTTAAAAGTAAATGTATGTGAATCTTTATAACTATTTCATATACACACTGAAAACTTGGGTTTTATATAAAATAGAATGGAGAATTAAATTGTTTAAATAAAAAAAAAAAAAGCTTTTATAGCACTCTTGGGGTAATTTCAAATCGAGGGCAAACCAAATCCCCCATTCAATATTATACCTATTCCTCACCAACTTTACAAGGAATCAAATCGGTTTTAATTAGTAAAAATTACAAAATAAATTGCAAAACTTACTTAATAACAACATCAACCCACGAAAACAATTAATTAAAGAATAATAATCTTAATGAATTGTTTTCATTCGAATTAATGTTCCTTTTTGTTCACATTTTTTTTTTTTTTTTTTTTTTTTTTTTTTTTTTGTACTTTGTTTGTCAATCAAGCAAAAACACAAAGTAGTACACAGTATTTGGGACAGCCGCTGACATTTGGCCCCTAGATTTCTATATTCCCTACGCAAATTAAATAAAATAAAAATAAAAAATAAAAATAAAAACCGTCATTTTCAATTAGATTCTCAATTTTTTTTCTTAATTTCAGTTATTATATATATATATAAAAAAAAGTATTGAAAAAAAAAAATTGAAAATAAATTAACTCCACGTATAATGAGGAAATAGGGTGGGACCCACCCGGTTTTCTCTCTCTACAGATCCAACTTCCTCGTTTTAGCAGAGGAACAGAGAGAGAGAGAGAGAGTTCTTATCCTACACAAACACAGACAGACATTAAAATATATTTTTATTTTTATTTTTATTTTATTAAACTATTTAGAAAAAAAAAAGGTATCTTTATTCTTTACCATATTATAAATTCAAGATTTTTTGCTCCAACGTGGAAATTCTTTAGGTGTTTTTTGAGGTACCCTTTTAGCTTTTTTTCTTTCCCAATTTATTTCATTTTCACAATCATAATAGTGTGTAAAATATATTTTTTTTATTTCATGAAAAAGAACAAGTCTTTCCTTAAAAACTGTCCCTTTTATTTATTTATTTTTTATTTTTATTTTCTTATTTTTTTTTTCATTTTCTAGAAGCAAAAATGCATTGAATTGGATTGCAGATTAGGTTTTTTTATTTCCCCCCTTTTTTTTTCTATCTATTTAGTCAATAGAATTAGCCCTCTCCTCAGCTTTTGATCTCTCCACACCTTCTGTGTATTTTGGTATAATAAATGGGATTTTCATTCTGTGATTTATTGGAAAATTTTCTTTAGAAGGGACTGTTCTGTTTGAATATGTCATAAATTAGGTTTTTTATCTGTTCATGAGCCATGGCTTTATTTTATTTAATTTTTTTTCTTCATTTAATTGCCAAAATTCTTGAAATTTCATGCTTTCAGTCTGCAAGATTGAATTTTTTTTTAATGGGTTGTCTTATTTTATTTCCAATTTCTTGAGAGTTGCAACAATTTCAGTTTCTTGGTTATTCTGTTACTTGGATTAGTAATTTGTGTTCAAAGGTTGATTTGGGTCTGAATTAACTGCTGTAGATTGCCCAAAAAACAAAAAAAAGTAAGGATTTTTCGAAGGCTTAGGCATTGTATGTTTCATTCTTGAGAGTTCTTACATAAACTTTACATGAATGGGGATAAGGGTTTTGTTTTCCTACGATTATCCCAATTTGCTGTGTTAGATGATCCTATGTTTAATTTGTAGTCATATATAGCCTAGGTTAGACTTATTATCTTCTGTTTATTGGAAAAGCCTTTACATTTTTTGAGCAGATCTGATAGCCTCTTCTCCCCCTTTAAATCGCCTTTGGTATCCTTATCAATTCGTTGTAATTGTTTTGATATGGTTCGATAGCTGCCTGTTTTGGTGAAATTGATTACTTTGTATGATCTGTAAGAATTACAGAAAAATGTGTAATTGGTGTTGTTTGGTATTTGAGAAAAAAAAAAAAAAAAAACTTGATCTATTGTTATATGTCCTACTCCAATTGGGATCTCATGATTTCAAGATTATTATATGCTTTTGATTATATTTATGCCGATGAATTCATGGACGATTTGTTTGTGATTAGGTCCACTGGTTTTTGTAGTCTTTGCTATGGTCTTTTTGTTTTTGTTTATTTTTTTTTTTCCTATCAAAATTGGATTAGGGATGTTATTTATTTTCTGCTTTTTGTTTCCTTATGATTTTGTGTTTTTTTCTTATCAGGACTTGTGCTGTTTGAGGACTGCTGCAAAGAGGTTCGACTTTCGGTACAATAAAAAGTGAACCATCGATTGGCCAAAAATTGGCTGCGAATAATACAAGCGGCTTAGCCATGAAAATGAAGGTTTGCAGTTTTTATGTGAATTTATTCTGATTTATCTCTTTGCTGCATTGTTTTATCAATATTTGTTTCATTTTTTTTTCTTGTAATTGTTAATGTAGCTTGATGCATTTACTTGAATTTGCTGCTCATAATACCCTCTAATTATAGACAGAGAGTACCTCAACGTGCATGGAAGATGATGTGGAATTTTGAACTAATCCGCAGAAGTTTTTAATATCAATTTTAATTATTTCCACCTATCCTTATTGGTCCACGTGAGATTGCATTGATGGATACACGACAAATTCTGAGTCGTAATCTGAAAAGAATTCGTATTTGCACTTTTCGATGGCTTTATTGAAACGCGCGAGTGGATTTTTTTTCCAAATATGGAAAAGAAATAACCGATTCTCAGCATATAGGGAAGAAAATGCGTTTAGGCTGAAATTTGCCATTTTCTCTTTCTTAGCATATATGGAAATCTTCTTTGGATTGATCATTATTCGAAAAGAAAATTAACACATGAGAAGGTGTAATATCATTTGTTTGACAATTTCAATCCAACTTTTTTCACCAAGTTCTCTGCTAATTTATCCGCGCATCATTATCTTGAATTGAACTATTCATAATCTATTTAAAGCCGATAACTTGATATACAGTATTTTATCAGAAACTTACGGTTGATTTTAATTTTATCATAGGATAATCCTTCCAAATCCGTCCAGAAAAGTGACGACAACAATGAGTCCCCGAGCAGTCCACGTCATCGCAAGGTTAATTAATTTTCTTCATTTTACTGAAAGGCACATTTGGCAAGCTCGTCTTCTGGTCTTTCTTATATTATTTCTTTGTCATTTATTTTTTTCGTTATATTTCTGTTTAAGCAGGTTTCTGCAAGATGGGTCCCGGATGAAGGATGCAAGCCCCTTATCGATGAAGCTCCCGTTTTTTATCCAACCGAGGAGGTATTTTATTTTTTTATTAATAATATTTTCTATTCTCTGCAAAAAAATAAAATTTCTACCTTTAGCTAACTAAAATTTCCACCTCAGGAGTTCCAAGACACGCTCGGTTATATAGCGACCATTCGCCCGAAAGCCGAAGCCTATGGTATCTGTAAAATCGTGCCTCCCGAGTCTTGGAAGCCGCCTTGCCCTTTAAAAGAGAAGAATTTTTGGGAAAATCAGAAATTTTCGACTCGAATCCAGCAAGTGGACCTCCTTCAGAACCGGGAGCCCATGCGGAAAAAAACACAGAAAAAGAGAAAAAGAAGAAAGCAGTTCAACACAAGGCCCAGGAGGCGGGCCCGCCGGGAGAGCTCGGAATCTAATTGCGAGGATAAGTTTGGTTTCCAGTCGGGATCGGATTTTACTCTCGGGGAGTTCGAGAGATATGCAGACGAGTTTAAGGAATCATATTTCGAGGGGATGGAAAAAAACGGTGATAATGTTAAGAAGTCGAGGCCTTCGGTCGATGAAATCGAAGGCGAGTATTGGCGGATTATCGAGCAGCCTACAGATGAAGTTGAGGTGAGAGAAAAGCTCAGTTTTTTTTTTTTTTTTTTTTCTATTATATGTATAATTGTGCAATTTATGATTTGTGTTTTGGCTTTGGATATTAATACAGGTCTACTATGGGGCTGATTTGGAAACCGGGATGCTCGGGAGTGGATTTCTTAAAGGTTCGGATTTGTCGGGGGACTCTAAGATAGATCAGTACATTAAATCCGGCTGGAATTTGAATAATTTGCCACGTCTTCCCGGTTCTGTATTGAATTTCGAAGAGTGCAACATCTCGGGGGTTGTTGTACCGTGGCTTTATATAGGAATGTGCTTCTCGTCGTTTTGCTGGGTATGTTAAATATTTATATTAGGATAAACCCATGTTTTTTTTTTTAAAAAAAAAGAAAGAGCGAAAAATTGTTATTTTGTTGTCCACTACCTTATCGAGCTTTGTTCTTTTCGTATATGTCGAATTCTAATATAAAAATTGTTTCTTTTTCTCCTTTTAGCATGTCGAGGACCACCATCTCTACTCACTGAACTATTTGCACTGGGGGGACTCGAAAATTTGGTACGGCGTGCCTGGAAGCTGTGCCAGCTCATTAGAGAATGCCATGAAGAAGCACGTGCCTGATCTATTCGAAGAAAATCCCGATTTACTGAACGAATTGGTAAAGTTTTGCATCTTATAAAGCTTCAACAGTTAATCCTATTCTTCATTTGTTTCTAAAGCCATGTAAAAAAAAAA